TATAAATATGAATTTATAATTTTGTTAAATTCTTAGTTTACATTTAATAAAAAAATATTTTTTACTATAAATATGAAAAATTCTATATTTTTATAATTTTATTTATACAATAATACGGGTCAAATCGTAACAAACTGCGACCCGCATGGACTAGACCCGGATGGGTCAGCAGGCGGGCTGGGTTGTAGTCCAAAATTTGTGGGTCGACCCGGAACCAGCCAGGAACCCATAGTGGGTGGACTTTTTTTCACACGGATCGTTACCGGGCTCATATGTTGGCGGGCCGACCCGGCCCGGACCACCCGAATTGACACATCTACTTGTTAGCTTCAAATTTTGATTGTTTATGTTTGTAATATCTCGCGTTTGATTGCGAGTCTAGAATTTGCATATAAAGAAAATAAATTCTAGACAATTCAATTTTTTAATACTTATTTGTATGAAAATTATTAATTAAATGTGTTTGATTGATTTAGTTTTCAACATAGAAAATATTATACTTGTCCATTTTTTATTAGTGAGTATATGATAGAGGAAAAGAAATAGTGAATTATCTGAAAAAATAAACTACCCCTCTCTAAAGAAAATGTTTTTATTATTTTTGAGGAAAATATGGTCACATGACTAAAAGTTGAAAAATATTTTCTATTGAAAAAACTTGTCAATTAAACATCCCAAATGTAGAATTTTGAGTGAAATAATGACATTTTTCATGAAAAAATAAAGTCAATCAGACACACTCTTAATTTTGATAATGGTTGTAAGGTCTTTGGAATGAGAAATTACGACTCAAATGAAATTATCATACTATAAATTTTAATTAGTTTTATTAAATTGATCGAATAGATAATCACTATTTTTACAAGTTGTCGAATCGTACTTCAATAATATGATGACTATCTAAGCAAATTATTGTGATAAACATGCGTTAAATGTAAATATTAATTTAGCTAAATTTCTCCACGTCCCTTTCCTAACTAAATAATGCTAATACTTCGACTAATATAAAAAAAAATTCTATACTAAAAGTGTTTTTAATATAAATATATAGTAGTTATGGATGTCATTTGCGGTTTAAATATTGAGCCGGGACCTCTTGAGAGTTTCTTTGATCGATCAAGGTCCAAGTACGGTCTAAAACAAGTCTACTTCCTCGGTTAGAAGAATTTGTCATGTTGGACATGACTCTCCAAGCCTGCGGTCGACGTAGTTTAAATTTCGTTCTTTTTAAATATCAACTACACACTGTAATTGTTAAATTTTATAATTTATCTAACTTAACCGATCAATTTTTAATATTTTTGAATCGACTCATTTTTCATTGGTAGACACACTAGTTGTTGAGAGGTGTGATTATGGGGGCCTTGTGAACATCATTCGTTCCAACACAAGGGAGATGGTGAAATCCATCATCACCCCTTCCCAAAATCCTACATCATAGTTGGTCTGAAAATCTATAATGAATCAACAAAACAAAAAATAACTTCCCCACGCTTCCTAATGGCAATTATCTTGTCCGTTCCCTGCACACCTCATGCAGACGCTGGCCTGACATCACAATTTGAAACCATGTATACCCTAGTTGTCCCTCCTCTAGTCCACAAGAGTGGTGGCAAGGGCTACATCATCAATTAACACGTGACTAACAAACAGCACAAAACCATGATAGATTGTGTAAAGGATTGATAGCAGAAAATCTCTTTAAAAAGTTTTCATTTGCAATATACAAGTACCTACTGAAAATCGCAGAAAACCTCCATGTTTGAAACCATTTGTGCGAAATTTTCTTCGTTTCAAAAAATATGCAGTGAACTAGCCGGTTATAGAATATTTTATCGAGATTGAAAAGGTTTCTAACTTTTCTTAAAACGAACTAGCTAGTCGAGTCCAACATACTTTGACAACATTGATGTTTTGTTGTATTTATCAATGTTTTGTTTATAACTAGGACCGGACTGGATATTGATTAGGTAAACTAAATGTTCAAATTCTATTGTTAAAATGGTTAATCGAATCAACATTTTGTATTGTTTTGAGACTGTAACTAAACCAGTTTTCACATTAGTTAGTAAGAATGCGTTTGGTTTGTCGTTTTGAGGTCATTTTCAGTTTTTCGTTTTCTAAAACAGTCAAAACATGTTTGGTATATTATTTTCAAAAAAATGCGTTTTCGAAAATAAGGAAAATTTAATAACATAAAACTCAAAATGACTTATTGAATGAAAACACTCAATAAACTCAAAATAAGGAAAATGAACTTAAAAATTTCTCAAATTAAAATAATTAATAAAATAACACAAAACCTACCCAAATATGAATATCCATAAAACTAAATAATCACATATAAGTATAAAATTGATATGTTTTACTAAATAATCAAATTAATTGAGAAAAAATGTCATAAAATTATTTCTAAAATTTTTAAAGTAAACACGTTTTCTAGTCTTTTGTTTCGAGAAACAATTTTTCAGATTGACAAACTAAACACATTTTCTGCAATCTTAAAATAATTCCTCAAAAAAGAAAATAGAAAATAAATTCAAAACTGAAAGCAGAAAACAAAAATGCAATCCAAACGCACCTTAATTTTTTTCTAGCATCAATCTGGTTTTTACAAAATACTAATATTTATATATTGAGTGTGACATTGATGTTGGTTTTGAAATCTTTGTATGTCGGGAAAATTGATGTTCTGTGGAGATGGTGATGATGATGGCACCACGCCATTTTCTCTTTTGAGCAACAGACTTCCAAATGATGGTATCCACAGCACGCCCTTCTCTCTCTCTCTTTCCAACCAAGATTTGCACAAGTTTCTGAAGAACCCTAATTTTGGGATTTTGTCACCACTCCAATCATCATTTTTATCCTTTTCCTTCTCTAAAATCTCGTTTCTGTATGATGGTTATTCTTACATGACATGTTAATGTATTCCCTTCATCATTTTATTTTGTCCCGTTGCATTGCATATGTTAGATTCGCGACTTTCATGTTTGATTGTGTTTAAAAATAAATTAAATTTCATTAAAATGGTCTTTTCTTTTCTTCGTTAATAGCATGTGAC